ATATACATATTTTATTACTTAATTATTATGTATATAAAATTAATTATGTTTTATTTTTAAAACTTTATTTTTCTTTATCAAAAATATTTAATACTTATATTAATTAAATAAAACTATTTTTTATAAAAATTTAAAAATATTTTATTATTTTTTTACGATAATTTTTTTGATTTTATTGTAATTTATTTAATTTTATTTTATTTTATTTTTTAAATGAATGTTGCTTTTTATTTATTTTATTTCTATTTAAAAATTCATACAATATTTTTTAAATTCATTAAATTATGTTACTTTTTCATAATATTTTATATTTTCTTTTTATTTCTTTTTTTAATTTCTTATATTTTCAAATCTTTAATATCATTTTTCCTACTTTAATATTCACTTATTATTCATTAGAATTATAGTCATATTTTAACAATCTTGTAATATTGATGTTGTAATTTTTTTGATTTCAACTTGCTAATATGTAGTAAAAGTTTAAACATGTCTAATTAATCTTAAATTTATTTATTTGTGATAACTTCCTTAGCATCTTTCTATTTAAATTGCTGTAAATATTTCAACATTTCTCTTTATAGAAGATTTAAAAATGTATAAAAATTTGTTTCATTAAATTAATTAATTTACCAATATGATAATAATCACAAAAATTAATCTTTAGTTTAAAAATTATAATATTTTATTAGAATAAATTTAACAAATTATGTATTTACAGCCTTTTCCATAGTATATTTCTTCTTCCTTACATTCTTTTTTTACATCATAATCTTTTCCCTAAATTTTATTTATTTAAGAAAATTTAAACCATCCCATATTCTACATAACTTGTATATAACTTTAATGCAATCAGAGTATATTATATAATCTAATTATAAAAATTTTAAAAAGCTATACTATATAAATATAATATATTGTAGTAAATAAACATAATATTGTATTTATTATATTTTAATTTAAGAAATCGAAATTATTTCATTGGAAATTGATAACTATTTTAGGATTTTTGTTATTTCATCATAGACACATAAGTTTTAGAGTAATTTAAATCTAAAAATTTGATTTCTAAAATAAAAAAAAAAGTTTAGTATGATTATATATATTTTTATTATTTTTACATTTATATAGGTTTTATTCAACTTTTTTTTATAAGTATTTATATATTTTTTTATTTAAAATAAATGAAATATTAATTTTTTTTTAAGAAATCTTAGTAAAAGATATTTTACTATTTTAAAATTTTTTAAATAAGAGAAAAGGAAAAAAATTAATATATAAATATAGATTCATAAATATTTTATAAAAAATATACTTTTTATTAAAAAAAATTATTATTATTTTAAATAATTAATATATATAATATATATATTTCTTTATTATTATCTTTTAAAAATATTATAATATAATATTTTTATTTAAATTTGTTAATTTTTAAATATTAGATAATATTGTATAATTAATATATATTTTTTTTAATTATATTCAAAATTCAAGTATTTTTATTATATATAATATATATATTTAAGCAATTTTAATATATATCTTTAAATTTTTTTAATTATATTATGTATATATCTATTTTTTTATATAAAAAAAATTATTTAAGCTTAATTTTCTTATATACTATCAAACAATATAATTTTACAAATTAATTTTAAAGTTTTAAAAATAAAATTTAGCTGTATAAAAAATAATATAACCATTAAATAATATATTTTAAAATAATATTTTTTTTTATTATAATAAATAATATTTTTGTATTTATTTTTACATAATAATAATTTTAATTTTTAAAAATAATTTTACTTTTTTTTTAATAAAACATCATATATATATTGATTGATATATATAAAATAAAATAAATTTGTATATAAAAAATAAATATTATATTAAATATAAATTAATAATAAAATTATTTTTTTAAAAATTTGATTAAGTATATTAAAAATTTGTAAAATAAATATTTTTATTTTAATAAAATAATATATACAAAAAAATATAAAGATAAAGAAAGATATTAAATTAAATTTTCTTTATTAAATATATTTTTAATAAAAAATAAGATATATATTTAAAAAAATATTTGTAATAATAATAATATTTGAGAAGAATCTTATAATATATATATATAAAAAAATACGAATTATATAGAGTTAAGTACAAAGTTATGCATATAAATAATAATATAAAATTAATATTAAAAAACTTTTAAAAATAAAATTAATATATTAAAATTTTCTTTTTATGAATTATATTATATATTTTTCAAAACTATAAATAATTTAAATGTATAATCTAAAATAACTATTTAAAAAGACAAATGAACATTCGATTATATAAATAATTAAATGATTAACAAAGAAATTAAAATAAAAACAAAATAAAAAAATAAAATAACAAAATATATATAATTTTAATTTATTTTATTTTATTTTATTTAATTATATATTTATTAATATATATATATTTATATATATATAATATTTCAATATTATATAAATAAATATCAATATTATATAAATAAATATCAATATTGTTATTAACAATATCTTTTTTCTTAAGAATATATTTTATATTCTTAAAATATTGTTAGCAAATAATTTTTTTTAAATAAAATTCTTTTATTGTTTATATTAAAAATTTATATTCAAAAAATAATATATATTAAAAAAAAATTAAAAAAAAATTAAAAAATTATTAATTAATAAAAAAAAAAGTTTAAAAATAAATATTTTATAAATTTTTAAATTTAATTAATAAAATTCATAAAAAAAAATTATTTATTAATTAATAATAAAATATTAATAAAAATATTAAATAAGATGATTTATTACATTAATATATTTAATTATATATTTTAGATTAAATAATATAATAATAAAATAAAAAAAAATTAAATTTTTTTTTTTAAAAAAAAAATATAATATATATTTAAATATATATATATATATATATGTATTTATATTTTTATATTTTAATATCATTTTATTGTTTTATTTTAATTTTCATTTTTCTTATCCTTTTTTTTTATTTAGACTATAATTATTAATTTTTATTAAAAATTATTTTTTTATTAAATAATTTTTTTTTTTTTTTAATATTTTAATATATATAAATTTATTATCTTTTTTTTTAGTTTTTATCAGTTTATATTATACCTTAAAATATATTTTTATTAATATTGTATATATATTCTCTACATTATTTTTTTGTTTTTATATATTAATAATTTATTATAATAAAAATTAATAAATAATGAATCTTTATTATTATATATTAATAATATATAACATTTTTTTATAATTAATTTTTTGTATTTAATAATTATAATATTTTTTTATAAAGATATTTTTTTAAAAAAATTAAAAATACAAAAATAAAAAACAAAATAATATATATTTTGCTTTTTATATATAATTTATAAAAATAATTAAATAAAAAAGAATACATAAAATAAATAATAATTTTTTATATACATAAGATAAATAAAAAAATATATTTAAAATATTTTTAATATTAAATATATTATAAAATAATTTTTATTTTGAAAAAAATAAAAAGATATTATTATTTTTAAATAAATTTTTTAATAAAAAAAAAATATCAATAAAAATATAATAATAAAATGATAATTATAATAACTTATTAAATAAAAACAAAACAAATACAAAAATAAAAAAAAATTATTTACAAATATATGAAAAAAATAATATTACAACCATTATTATAAACTTAATATAGTGAAGAAATTGAAAAAAAAAACAAAAATAATCAGTAATTTTCAAAAATAAAGCTTTCATCATAATAAAATATAAATAATTCAAAATTTATTTAATAAAAAAACCATAAAAAATCAAGTACATAATTTCAGGTGAAATATAATATAATATAAAAAAAAATATATAATTATAAAAATACGAACCAAAATAATCTAAAAAAACAAAAAATAAATATAAAAATATATATATATATATATATATATATATATATTTTTTATTTTTATGTCTATTAAAAAAAATTTGAATATTAAAAATAAAATATTTTTATTAAAATGCTTTTTAATAGTTTTATTATTTAAAAATCTATTTTATGAAAGCATAAACTTATTTAAAAAAATGTATATAGAAGTTTTAAATGCAAAATATGACATATTTTTATCGTAATGAATATATATATTATATTAATTTGTTTCAATATATAATAAATTTAATAGATTCATTTATATATAAAATTCCTGGTTTTAATAATTTTAATTATTAATTATTTATATTTAATATTAATAAGTTTATTATTAAATTATATAAATATTGTTAATTAGTTCTTAAGTTTTGTAAAAGTTATGAAAGTGTTTATTTTTAAAGATATTTATATTTATTTTTTTTATTAATAAATGCTTTTTAGTTTTATGCTATATCAAATCGCTATTTAAGGTATTTTTATAAAATTTTGTAACATTGTAACATTTTTATTTGAGTAGTTATGTAATACCATATTTTAAATAATATTTTTTATTATTAATAAAAAAATAAATTAATTGTTAACTTATATATAATATTACATTAAAATACAATATAAATTAAAAAATTTTATACTTTTATTTACTAATAAAAAATATAATAAATTCTTCTCAAAAATGAATTTTACGACTACAATCATTTAAAATTTATTTATTAGCACAATAGCACTTATTATTTATTTAATATCAATTTTCACAACAGAAATTCGGACATAATTATTTAAACCCATAAAAATAGTTTATATTTCTTTATATTTTCAGGACATATAATAGTTCCTTAACATTCCTTAACTGTCATTTTTTCTAAATTTTTGTACAAACAACTTTAGTTTTTTCAACGTAAATATTCACTTATTATCCATTAAAATTGCATTCCTATTTATAGCATTCTCCTGATACTGATGTTGTAGGTTTTGATGATTTAAACTCATTAATAGGTAGAAAAGAGTTAAAACATCTCGAATCAATCCCAAGTTTGATTTAATCACATCCTGAGCTTCTTATCTATTCAAACTACTGTTAACATCCCAGCAATTTGCATTATGGAAGATTTAAAAAGTAAAGTATAACAATTAGATTCTTTTAATTAGCAAAGTTTACATTCTGAAGATGCAAGATGATAATAATCACATTATCCATCGTCAGTTTAGGATTGCAATATTCTCTTTTAGATAAATCACATTAACCAGCGACGTGTTGACAGCCTGCTCCTTTCCCATAGAACATTTCTTCTTCTATAGATTCTTTTATTTCCGCATAGAAGTTTGTGCCTCTTACAAGATTGGCTGTAAAACCACTAAAATATGCCTAAGTAGTTGATACAGATGCATTCATGTATTCGCTTTCGATGACTGTGCTTTTCCAATGAGAATTTTTAGAAGACTTTTCTTCTAAATTTTCAAGAAGCATACCAACTAAATTAGAACAATTAAAATTTTTTCGGGCAAACTATAAAAAAGAATCAATTTCCCTTGTACAAATATTTTTTTCTAAAACCCAAAATATGAGTCATTTCATGGATAACAATTTACTTTAAATCTTTAAATTAAATTGGATCATTCAAATCTTTAGTTTCTAATTTGCTAAAATTGAAAGTAACTTAACCATGTGTAGGTCCTAGACATTCAATAAATTAACACCTATTAGCATAGGCCATATAAGATTATTATGGTTTATTTTATATTATACATATATATGTAAATCAGATTATTTTCCCTTATCTTTGTCTTTTTAAGGAATTTCGAATTTTCCACATTTTTTAAAACTGCTAGATTTATATCTCATATTTGATTAAGATTTTGGGATTATTTTTATTAATTGAGAAAAATAGTTGTTTGCTAATATTATAGCTTTCTCACGAATATCAATTAACTATTTATTTTAAGCTAATTTTTAGAATTATGACATAGAATTATTTTGATAAAAAACATTAGTAAAATTTTTTATATAAATAATTAAAAAAAGTATAATTAATAATATATATAATATTTAAAAAAAAAAAATTATTAAATAAAATTTAAAGAATTAGAATTTATAACAAAATGATTAAAAATTATTGTTTATAATATATATAAATGTTTAATAAATTTTAGTTGTAATTAAATATTTTAATTCAATAAAAATATAAATAAAAAGAATTTATATAATATAAAAACAAATTATAATAAGAAGATTTTTTTTAAAAAAAATTAATAAATATAAAATATTAAATGTTATTATTTAAAATTTTTTTTATATAAATATTAGTAAAAAAAAAATGATTTTAAAATTATTTTTATTAAGAAATTTATATAAATATATATTAGTATTTTTATATATTATTAATACTTTTTAGTATTATTAAATATTTTTAAATAATTATATGCATTTATTATAAATCGTAAAATTTAATAAACATCACTTATATTTTTATTCTAAATTTATTTTATTTCCTAAAATTTATTATTCAATTTTAATCTACAGTTTATTTTTAACAATATTTTTTTTTTATAATATTAATTAAATTACTTTATTTAAAATTATTATAATTTAAAAAATCTGAAATCTATAAATTATTTAAAATTTTATATTTTATTTATTGTAATATATTATAAAATAATAAAATATATTTTTATATAAATTATATATATTTTTTTTTATTAAATTATAAAAATACACAAAAATATTATAATTATTTAAATGTTTATTATAAAAATAAAAAAAATTATAAATATTAATTATTATCAATAAGCACAAGAAGATTTTAAAAATTTATATATTTTATTTAAATAATAAAAACTAATATATCTTTTAAAATATATAAATATCTTTATGTATATATATTATTTTTTAGAATTGTAATAATTTTTTTTTTTATTATTTATAATAATAAAAAAAAAATGAAAATTTTTAAATAAATTATAATTTAATCTTTATAATTATATTTTTTTAAAAAAATAAAATATTAAAAATTAGAACCTAAATTCTTAACAAAAAAATATTAATATAAATATTAAAAAATCATGCTTTTAATATAGGTTTTGTTAAACTACAATCGTTTCCAAAGTATCCTTTATTACAAACACACTTATTATTTAGACAATATCCGTTTGAACTACAAAAATTTGGACAAATTTTTTTAAATTTGCAAAACTACATTATATTTTTAGGACATACAATAGTTCCATCATATCCATTAACTTGCATCTTTTCTAAATTTTTTGTGCAAACAACTTTTTATTTTCCTACATGAATAGTCACTAATTATCCGTTAGAACTGCATTCATATTTATAACATAAACCTTAAGTTTTTGGATTATTCGCATAATAAGTATTTTTTATTAAAGATGAGTTAAAACATTTAGAATCAACTCCATATTAAATTCCGTACACTTGTTGTGTTTATTATGAGTGTTACATATTTTAAATATTCCAGCATTCCTTATACAAATAAATTTAAAATGTATTACAATTAGGTTCATTAAATTAACCAGCAATACAATTTGATGCTCCAATATGGTAGAAATCACATAAATCTTATTCTTTTATAGGAATGCAAAATTCATTTTTAGTACAATTACATTAACCAGTGACGTGTTGACAGCCTGCTCCTTTCCCATAGAATATATCTTCTTCCATAGATTCTTTTATTTCCTCATAGAAGCCTGTGTCTCTTAAAAGATTGGCTGTAAAACCACTAAAATATGACTATAAAGGTTATTATTATGAATTCATATATTCGCCATTGATTATTGTATTTTTCCAATGTGAATTTGCAGAACCTGGGCCTCCTAAATTTTCAAGAGGCACACCAGTTAAGGAAGGACAATTAAAATATTTTCGAGCAAACTGCAAAACTTTAGGAGTTTTGAGAAATAAAGTATCAATTTCCCTAAATTTTTTTTTTATAGTAGGTTCAACATAAGAGCTTTTATCTGATTATATCCATAAAGGTATAGAGTGTTGTGTAAAACCCAAAACATGAGTCATTTCATGGATAACTATTTCTAATATATCTTAAAATATAAATTATTAACTTAAATCTTTTTTTTCTAATTAACCCAAATTAAAAGTAATTTAACCATGAGAAGGTCCTACCTTATACACAAATTAACAATTAGCAGCATAGGCTACAAAAGATAATTAATCATTATTTAAATATTATGCATATATATGTAAATCAGAATCTTTTCCCTTGTCTCTGTCATTTTAAGGAACTGTAACTTCTCCACATTTGTCAAGATCGGAATTAAATCTCATCTGTTATTCAGATTTTGGAACTATTTTTATAAGATCAGAAAAATATTTAAATGCTGTTTTTAAAGCTTTCTCACAAATATCAATTATCAATTAATTTTTAGGATTTTTAGGTAATTTTGAGAAAAAGGACATATCGTAAGTTATAATCATATTACGGGACTTTTTAGATTGTAAATTACGGATATCTGTATAATCATCATCAGGAGAGATTACTTAGTAAGGATAGAGTTTTTACATTTAATCATGGACACATTAGTGTTAGAGTACATATAAACCAAAAATACAAGTTAATTAAAATAAACATATTATTAATATTTTCATTTATTATTAATAATATTTGATTATTATTTATATGTATTTATTATAAATAATTTTTTAGACAATTATAGTTAAAAAAAAATATATATATTTAGTTTGAAAATATTTAATTTAAATATTTATCACAAGTTTTTATAAAATAAAAAATAAAATAAATCAATAAAAATAAATTTATTTATATATGAAAATAATATATATTTATTTAATGAATTTCAAAAATAATAATATTATTATATTATTTTAGTAAAAATAATAGATAATTAAATAAATTTTTCATTATTTGTTTTGCATAAAAATAAAAATTTAAAAAAAATATAATTATATATATTTGAATTATAAAAATTAAATAGTATTTATTTTTTTTAGTGTATAAATTAATTAATAAGATAATATACTTTAATTATTTAATTTCAATAGAAATTAAATTAAATATTATTTTATTAAATATTTATAACTTTTAATATATATCTACAAATTTAATATAAGAAATTCTATAAAATTTAAAAATATTTTTATCTAATAATTAATTATTATATATAAAATATATTGTATAATTAAAATTATATAGATTTTATATAAGAGAATAATATATAAATATAAAAACTAAAACAAAGATATTTAAGTATTATTTAATATACAAATTAATTACAAATAAAAAAAAAAATTGATGTAAAAAATTAAAATAATATAAAAATAATTTTTAATTTATATTTATTAATAAAAATAAATTTAATAAATATATATTTTATATTATAGAAATATTACATTTTTATAAATATAAATTTAGCATTTATAAAAATAAAATTTTATTAAATAATATTTTATATTATTTAAATTATAATGATAAGAAGATTTAAAAAAAATATATATATTTTGATATACATATAAAAAAATAACATATTATAAAAAGAGAATTAAATTTTATATTAATTATAATTTAATTTTAAAAAAATTTTAATGTAATTAAAATGTACTTTATATAGATTATAATTATTATAAAAAAAAAAAATTCTAAAACATATATATTATAAAAATATATAAATATATATTTATATTATAAATATAAAAAAAATATTAAAAAAATAACATTAATTATTTATAAAAAACATTAAAGATTAATATAAAATTAAATAAAACATAATAATGTAAATTTAATTAAATATATAAAAAAATAATATAAATATTATAAAAATTTAAAAATTTTAATGAAATAGTAAGTTAATTAAAATATATATATATATATGTTTATATTTATATATTTATTTATATAATTTTATATTAGTTTTTATATTATATATATTATAAATTTAAATATTTATTATCTGTATATTTATTTTATGTTTATTTTGTATTATTTGGAGTAATATCTAATAATATTTTTAATTTATTTT